AGTAAATTCATAATCTTTCATAGGACTCTTTTGTAAATATACATGCATAGGATCATATTTTATAGTATCTGACATTTTATGTACTGCTAGTGCTGGATCATATGAACAGATAAACTACCATATATAATGTTTAATTATTTTAAAATTTTACTCCACTTTTTAGTTTAAAAAATAAGTTAAAGTAGATGACAAAATATAGAAAAATATATAAACAAAATCAGCAGGGATTAAAAAAAGAACTATCAGTCAGTAAATATAATTAAACAATCACAGTCTCAAATGCATGTTTGTTTGTTTTTTAAATGTCTGGGTTCTGACAAGTAAAGTCATTTTGCACATTTGTATCAAATATGTTTTTGTAGGCAATGGCACATGTAACAGAGAAATACCTGTTCATCTTAAAGGATGACCAGTTCCTTATGGGAGGGAAAAACGGCTCTTCCAACCACTCATTTTAAGCTATGTAAAGTGTTAAAAAGTTAAAATCAGCACTTTTAACTTCATTCATAAACTGGCAGCTTGTGCAACTGATATGATTAGTGGGCCACTCCACCCATTTGCTTGTTTAAATTCTAGCAGCATCTATGAACACCAGTTGAAATTTCTGGACAATTTTTAGGAGTAGCCCCATATTTATCAAGAGTACTTATAATCACATACCGTACAGGCTATTATGATAAGAGTTTGTAGAACTGAACCTGAGCCATTCTACAAAATGAAGAAGCATTTTACATCCAGGGAAAAGGCATCTGATCTAAGTTGCACAGGTGCTGCTTGCTCGCCCCCATGCCCTCCAAAACACCCTTCCACCGTTCATTCTGAAGTGGTGTGCAGCCCTTTTATCAGTATGTTATTATACCAATGTGAAACCACTGAACATAGTTTTTGTCTCCAGAAACTGGCAGTTATAATCCCTGCTACTGTAATACATTTCCAAACAGATGTGTGTAGGATCATGTCATTAATGTTTTAAGACAATACTTAGTTCATAATGTGGTTAGACTTGGCATAAGCACCTATAATTCTTGAACATGTGCCAGGGACATGAAGCTATAGTCCACAGAAAATGATCTCGTCAGAATTGTTGAACCACCTATGCAACATAAATAAGCTGATTGCTGATAGTCAGGCCAACAAAGCAGATGAACCCTGTATTTTCTTACAGGCAGCCCTCAATTACCAACGGCCTCATTTAGCGACTGTTCAAAGTTACAATGGTGTAAAAGAACAGCTTTGTGACTAATTTTTGCATTTACAACTGTTACAGCATCCCATTGTCATGTGATCATCATCTGCATTCTTCCCAATCCTTCTCAATTATTAAATCCAAAAGCAATGAGATATAAGGGACCAGTTCTCAATGTACAGGTCAGGCATAGTATAGGAATATTATTTAAATACACCTAAAATGTTGATACTTATCTACAAAAGCTATTGGGCAAAAGTTTCTAAAGACAAAAATGTACAAAGAGAAGAAACTGTACATGCACAATAGAAATTAGAAATGAATGTGCCTGCCTAACCACAACTACTTTTCTAAAGTAGAAGATGAAGAATAAACCTCTTAAGAGAGCTATTCTTGCTTCAGTCTACTGTTCTTTTCTTTCAAATTAACAATCTCAAACACCAATATTCAAAAACTTTCCTCTCTTCCTTCCTGACAAGGAGAAACAAACTCCTTAATGGTTGTTTCCCATTGCAGAATGTACATTCTATGATAATTTCTGAACAATAAGTATCAGTTTCAAAGGATCTTAAAACTCATATCCCTTATGTGCTGTGGGAAATTTCCCCATTTTTTTCCTGCTGATACTTGGTACCACTGGGACACACCATTTTTCTCACAAGTCTTAAAATCAGAAGAACATGGTATATGCTAACAAAGTCTTCCCATCTCTTTTCTACCAATTTTTAGCCTAGCATCATAAACCAGGTTATGGACAGATTTAAAAGTTCTGACATCAGGGTTCTTATGAAAAGACAAATAAGACTTGAGCCAGGTACAATATAGCAGCTTGAGGGTGAAGAAGAGCTAGAACCAGAAGCAAAGAGTTAATTGGGATAGAACCCTGTATTTACTGTACAGCACAAACAACATACAATAATAACCAACATATTATATGAATACAGATCCACACTTGAGCTATTATAAGGAAAAATATACTTGACTTTTAAGGAGGTGGTAACAAAGTGCTTCAGAGCAGGTGTGGGCCCACTGGGGGCTTTCAGCTCATACACATATTTCTCTAGGACTGTATGGTTACTCTGTGAGGCAGCTTTTTTAAGAAGATGCTGACAGGTGCAGTGTGTGCCCCCAGGCCCATTCTGAAGCACCTTTTAGATCTAAAGTGCAGCACATCTCTAGTTAAAAGTTAAACAGATTTGTCAAAAAACTATGAAATATGATAAACTGCCTGCTAGCATTTATTATTTTCCAACGCAATGAATAGATTCTTCTCTACAAGTATACTGTTACACTACACTTTATTTGAAAAAAACATAGCGATTGTGTTTTCAGAATAACAGTTTATCAATATCTTTGCTGGATCCTTTTCATCCCTTCCATGCAAAGTACTTTATAAAAGTCAGTGCATTGTGAATGTGCCAGAATAACCTGAAAGGAGGCATTCATAACTGGCTGACACACAAATGCAGTTCCCACAGAAGACAAATGGTAATAAACATAGTTGGATAAAATATGAAACTGCAGCTAGTGGTAAATTAAAGCAGAGAGTTCCCAATTCCTCTTTCCTCCTATGCTCAAGTTGCATAAGCTGAAGGTGAAAGAGCATCTGAATCCAAGAAGAGTCTAGGCCTTTTAATCTCACCTTAAATGGTCTACTTTAGATTGTAAGATTCTTGAAAGTACAAATCTACTTATTTGCCCTACGTGTTTACTTTTTTAGTTTAAAGCCTACTATGTAAATCTCTTATCTCCACTCTTCTAGCTTTCTGGAAGACCTTAAAAAGCTGGCTCTTCTCCCAAGCATTGGGATAGGGTGAGCCTGGAGCCCAGTTTTTGCAACTGTTGATGCATCAGGGAGTGTTATTAGGGCACCAGGTTTTGGGGGTGGGGTGGGGTTAAATGTTGGTTTTATTATCTTT